ATGCCTGTGTGTACTTTCCAAGTAAGCATGCTTACACTGACTCCCATACAACTGGCAGGAGACCGACAAAAGGCTCCGCTTCTGCTGCCGTCAAAATTAGCAGTGAATTTGTAAGGGAACAGTACCCAGCCAGCAGCACGCAGAGCATCCTGAGAATTTCTTATTCCAAGCAGCACTGACATTTTACTGCTCCTCCAGCCTGAGTACTGTTTGTCAGCAGCTAAAACAAATGTTTGGAGCCATATGTAGACAGTGTGATTAAGAGTCATGATGGCCATTAATAACAAGGAGGCAGGGTAGAGAAAAGCAAAGACACTGAATGATGGAAGCTGAAAATATTGCTTAAATATCTGGGTGGAGCGCTCCTCTCCTGTTTCGTCTGTTTACATCCAGCAAGTTTTGCTATATCCTGCTCTGGTGAGTCACTCAGAGACATTAAAAAAATTTGAAAAATCACTTGTTTTAGAATTTTTCCCTTCTAATGAGATGACGACGAGATGTCCAAAAGGACAAAATAAAGATATAAAGCTCATTTAAAGTGTATTCAATTCTACTTTACTGTCTTTATTGGCCTTCAGAAGACTAACAGTTTGCTGAAACTCTCACTTAACAGGTAGACAGGTTGATCGACTGATGCCTCTAAATAAAATGTGATGTTGGGGAGAGTATTTTATGACTGAGTTCTAAAATATGAGTAATTAAATCTCCAAACAGTCCTAGAAGAAGAAGTGAGTACCATATCCTTTTGCTTATGCTTTTTAAGCACAGACACCTGGTGGGTGGGGTGAGGGAGAACAGTCCTGGGCACAAATCGGAGAGACGTGGTACCCCCCCAGAGAGAAAAACCCCAGAAGCCTAGACCCTGGGGCAGATCAGTGCATGTCAGCGCTAAAGGAGAGGGTTTGTCAGGCAAGATCAAGGACACAAGTCCTCCTCATTCTTTCTCAGGAACTGCCCACACACCAAGACACAATGCTGACTGCAGGTGCTACAAGCTGTTTGCCAGGCTCATGCCTCGTGTGCCCTGCAGCAAGGCCTCCATCACGTGTCCCTTGTGATCAGCACAGTGGCCCTTTTTGCCACCTCTTTTCTTTCCTGTGCCAGGCACATCTTGGTGACCTTTGGCTGCAACCCACACACAGGATCAGACGGTACTGCATGATCATCAGGATTAACCTTCAGAAGCCTATGTATTAAAAAAAACACTTTTCAGGTGCCACATACTCCAGGCAAGACCTAACAAGCTGGCCTCCTCAGCTGTTACTTGTCCTGGTCTATGCGGTCTCCCAGGCTGGGATATAGGAAACTAAAAATGTTTGGAATTACACACTCTGCAAACTGCAACTGTGCTTACACAAGTGATGCTGAAGGAACAGAAATGCTGTTTGTGTTAAGGCAGCTGCAACTCGTCTGTATAAAGTGTTCTGGAAATTGGCTTCCCTGCTTCCCTTCCAATGTCCTGTAGCCTGGTCTCACTGTTTCCTTCTCAAAATGGTGCAGCTGGACTAGTTATAAAAAAAACCAACAAAAAACCCACAAACCAATAACAACAACAAAACCAAACAAAAAACCACAACAAGCCAAAAAGAATCAGAAGGAAGGCATTTCTTTCAGGCATGAGGACTAGGAACCTGCTTGGGTGGGTAAGTGTGCGCTCCCAGCCTTTTGTGCGAGCGCACCCATGTCCAGTGTGGAGTGTGAGTTTTGGACTGGCTGCCCAGAAATGGAAGATACTCTCGTTATAAAATAAGTGTTAGAAATGCTTGTTAAAAACCCACCATGTAACGGACCAGGATAATACTTCCAGCTTGCTGTGACACACATACCGAGGGAGGTTAACTCTGAGTTTTGGTTGACCACTGTTCAGGGAAAATGGAGGGGTTTGGCTGTGATGTGAGCACAGTGAGCTCATCCTTATGGAGACCAGCAGCACGAGGCCTTACATTTTCCTTTCCAGAGCCAGCTCATCACCTGATAGCTGGGTGATGCTGTGCCTCCTAACTCTTGAGGCTGGAGGAGATGCTGTTGCTGCTGCTTCCCACACGAAAATAGCCACCATTCACCAACTGTGCCAGGCAAAGGGCCCGCATGGCACAACCCAGCACCTTCCTGGTTGCCCATCCCCTCTGCTGTCATGGATTAACAGTCTACTCAGCAAGTGTCTGGGGCAGATGATCTTTAATAACGCAGTAAGGCAGAGAAGAGTACACCAGAAACAACCATGGACAGAAACCCTGAGAAGCAGGGCGCCATATGCAGCTATCTGGGCTATTTTTGCCTAATGTTTACTGTTGGCAACAAATAAGAGCCAACATGGCTTTGTTTTCACTCTGCTGACACAACCTGTTTGGGAACTTGATTCCTTCCAATTTCCTGGCCTTCTGTACCCTTACTGACCAACCCAACATCCTTGTCAATACAGACATCCTGAAGAAAGAAGAGGAATACAGATTCTGCTGTTTGAGTAGCACTGGGATATTTTCCCCTCAGAGGAGGCTCCTACAATATTTTATACATGGAGAGAGCATGTAAGATATGTCTATAAATGAGAATAAGGCAGTGGCAGATGGGAGAGAGGATAAAAACAGAGGGGTATGTGTTTGAAATGTGTGATGTTAGAAGAAGAAAAAGAAAAAAAGGAATTAAAATTAATAGAATCAGCACAGTGATTTTTAAAAATGCTTGGGTATAGTTAACCAGAAGATAGGAGCCTTGCTGAAAAACAGGAAGTAGATACATATATACAAGGATGAGTACAAAGTGCTGACCTTTGCTGTGGGCAACTACTGAGCCCTAAACAGAAAAGTGAACTCAGAAAAACCCTAAGAATAAAAACAGAAAGTATATCCTCCAAAGTTACTAACCAAATGAAACATAAACACAATCATACACGGTAGACACACAAAAAAACCTCTGAACAGAAACGTAATAGCAGAAAACAGTATTATCTGTAAGTGCTCAACCAGTACAGTTGTGTAATTATCAGAAACAGAGGCCAGCTGAAATAAACAAGGTTATAAGAAAGTCACAAAACAGTATAAGGTAATGTAAGAAAAATTATTGTTTGAAAGATCTTTGGCAACAGAGGATTTAGAGGAATAAAGAGCAACTCTGGGTTAAGCATTTGTATGCTTCACCAAAGGAAGCTATCACTTCTCAAGGCACTGCACCCAAAGAGGCACTGGAGGAGTTCTGGAAGTGCAGTTGCAAAGATCCACCAGGTTTGGGTGACACAACAAAATCTGGTGTTTGGTGAATTATCAAATCAATTTAATATTGTTAAAATTTGCTACTGCAATGAAAGATGTGAGAATAAAAAGATAAAATGTATTTAAACTCTCAAAAAAGCTTCTAAATAGAAACTTTCAAAGGAGACTACCAAAGTCATGCCACCCACATGGGGGAAAGATAAAAGCTCTCAATGTATCAAAATTTTGTGAGACACACAACATTAAAAAAAAATAAAAAAGCAGTAAGCGGTTAGCAATTTCTGACACGGAAGAGCACCCCACAGACCACTGTAAAGATCAATATATGGCAAATGCAATGTAAAGTGGGGAAGGTTTTGCACCGAAGTATGTTGCTTTGCACTTCTAACTGCATGGAGAACTATGTGGAAAAAAAAAAATAAAATAAAAGGCACCTAAGCAACATAATGACTGATTAATTACACTGCAGCCAAATGTAATGCATTGACAGGAGCAGTACAAGACAGATATATATATATATATATATATTTTTCCCCCCCTAAAGGCAGCTATAAAATCATTAAACCTCTTCCGTAAAAACTCCTTCAGCATGTGAGCTCAGCCCTACATCAAGTAATTCTCATAACAAATGAAAGATTTGGTACTCACAATGCAACATGGTAGGCCACTGGATTTATTCAAACAAATATGTCAGGGGACGTTCAGTTTTAGAAAGATTAATGCAAATATATTCCACAGCCATTTGTAAACCAAGGAAAAAATAATCCCATACACAAAGTCACCAAACAAACAAAAATTAAAAGGAAAACATTTTCTTCCTGGAAAATATCTAAAGCAACTTTGAAATGGGGATGATAATTTTTTCAATGGAATTTCAAAGTTCTATCCTTCTGCCAAACTAGATTACAATCAACAACATCAGAGTAACAAAATCACTTCTATTTTTATAAATTTGTGCATTTGCGTGTGTGTTTGTTAAGCTGGTGTGTTAATACTGAGTTTTACTACCACTTTTCCAGAACTTTTTTGCCAGGAGGGAACACAAAATTAGATGTACAATTACCTAACATGCAGAAAACTGCAATTTCAGAGACACTGTTCAGGTCCCAATGTCTAGACTTAGCTCAAATGGCTGCAAATTACAGGCCAAATCCAGTGGATTAGGACCCAGCCAATATAGCTGATTAGTATCCAAACAAAAGAATACAACTGTATCTGTAAATCCATGGCACATGGAATCTATTAAAACCCAACTGATCAGTAGCACTGAAGCATTTATATATTTTAAACAACAGCTATTTTCCTAAGCTTGTAAAGAGAAAAGCAAACCAACTGACTAGCTTGGGCAGGGCTGGGTTCACATGCCTTGCAAACTGAGTGCCAACAGAGGTAAACAACTGGATCACGTTATTCAGGCCACTCTCTGCACTGTATGGTGAAAATAGGGAGAAAGAACAATGAATAACGAATGCAGTCCTTTAACTCCTCTTTTTCTCACAGGAAATCAGCTTTCAGCTGAAGAGATCTGGTTTATACTAATGAAAAATAGAAAAGGATAAGGCGTATTTTTCAACTTGGAAATAAATTCCTAGGCAGTATGTCAGCTTGGTACCATCCTCTTACTCCAGAAAGCACACATTTAAGACTAAATAAATCTGATATGCAAAAGTAAGACCCCATCAGTAAATATGTACACATTTTATTTTACCTTTGTCTCTGTTCTTCTCCTTTCCTAATGAGTCCAGTTTCTTTCTTAATGATTTCTTCCTCTTTTGTCCATCTGTAAGAGGAAAAAAGATAAAAAAAAAAAGGAAGTTAAGAGAAAGAATGCTGAACAAACTGCTGCACAAGCTAGAGTGAGATGGCCACAGCACTTGGAGTCAGGAAGGGTGTGGGGTACATTTCACAAAGGCTAGGGACTGTCACAGTTCTTCAGCCCTAAGGAGTGCTGCTTTGTTCACCCAGTGAAGTGCTGAAGTTGTAGTAGGGAACCAAAATGTATCCCACTGCATGCTGCTGGGCACATCTACACATGTGCGGTCACAGGGCCCACATGACAGAATGGAAAGCTAATTTTGAAGACTTAACAATGGAGATTTGTTGCTGGATGGTCTTGATAGCAAGGTACAATAAACTTAAAAGGTACTGGTTAGCTCTCACCCATGGTCACAAGACTGTGATTCAAGTGTAGAGCTGAAGGTAGTATTTGGAAAGGGAGGACGACTAACCTCCAGGATAAATTCTGCATACCAGTCATACTAGTTGGGTGATAGCTGACCAACTACACATGACCCATCTGATCTGAACTCACACTGGGAGCTTGCAGTTTGGTACAGCCATGTCAAGATTGGTTCAGATGAATTAGAGTCACAGAAAAATTATTGTTCTGACACCCTATATATCATCCAAGTTTTCACTAAGGTATTAAGGACTAAAGATTTTAAGCAACAGCATAGGCAGGTTCATTCTTGAAACAACTATGTCAAAAGCTTGGCTATCATTGTTTCCTTCAGCAGCATCTTTTATAATGAAAAGTCAACAAAAATGCATTTTATTTATTCGGTCTCAAGAAATACCAGGGATTAAGACATGGGCTTGCTTTAACTTGTACCTTTTGAATTTTTTTATGTTCCAAAGCAGTATGAAGGGCCTAACACAGGGACTAATACTAATGCTAACATAGGCACCACTCTAGATAAAGGTTAATGAACACGTACCTTTGTCTTACTAGCTTTGTAACAAGAAAACAAAAACTCAAAAATGAACGCACTGTATCTGTTTTTCACTTTTATGGTAAGAAGGTCACCAAATAATTTGCCTCAACATGTTTTTCTAGTTATGTAAGCCAGTGTCTTAAGTGGTGTTTTACAGCAGGGAACATACCACAGAGGAGTGAAGTGGATCTTTGTTGATTAACCCTCATCTTTGCAACCAGGTACCATGAGAGAACACAAGCCAAGCCCCATAGTTTTCCCTCAACTCCTATTGAAAACCATGACCAGAACATTACTCAACAGACAGCTGAACAAATTCAGTCTTTTTCGTAGCCAGCTAATATCCTTCTACCTTAAAGTTAACATTTCGTTTTACCTTATGTAACTGGGGTTTGATCGACTCTACTTGCAGACTTGTGCTCTGCGTTTATTTAGAGTATAATCGCTCCCAGCACTCACTTAACTATGATACTCGGTTCCTGTCTCTTGAGGTTGATTGTCATTTGGTGGTTATGTTAATTTCCCTTTTTCTGCACCTGCTCCAGTGCAAATTCATCTCTCTGAAGTAAGGCTGACTAGAATGGATATGGTATTCCAGATGAGAGTTCAGCAATATAACGGCGGTAATTCATTGCCTGATACAATCTATGATTAGATTTTCCTTTTTTGCAGCCACATGACAAGTTCATAACTCAAAGTCATACTTTGATTGATTAACATGCCCAGTCTTTTCACACCTTCTGGCATTTCCAGTCAATAAGACCGAGTTTATTACAGAAATTCTTCTTTCACCTCTTGGCAATATGAATAGTCGGTAGCCTGCTTACATACGCCTGACAGTACCACTTGTTTTTACAGGGTTCCTTACTACCATTGCGTTCTGGTTTTTTTATATATATATATATAATTATTTTAAAATTATTTTTCATGTTATAAATTCAAATTACTGCTTCACAGTAGCCTTTTGATAAATGACCTGCATTTCTTTGGAGTCTTAGAGCCTCTATTCTCCCACGACTCATTTACTCATACTCTGACATTCCACTGAAGTCTACTGAGACGTAAAAATTAGAATAAAAGTCAAAATTGGATGTAAAATATAGTGTTTTGCTATTATAATTACACAACGGCAACTTCGGGAATGTTTTAATGCTGCATAGTCAAATACAACAGAAATACAGGAAAAATGAATGCTATTCAACACTGGATACAGGAACAAATGGCACTCATACCCACATGGAAAACAATTTAATGACTTCTAGGGCCAAACTATGCTTTCTCATGAACCTTGTTCTCAATAGGTGATTCTTTCAACTCCAAAAGTGAAGCAATTCCTTGGTAAATGACAGGCTGAGACAACGTTTGTGCATTTGTCTCTGCAAACCTTAAATTTGGGATACAAGTGATGTTCAGGTCTAGAGGAATGTAAGAAGCAGGAAGCAGTTCTAGAGATGGACAAACCAGAAAATACAGAAAGAGTCCACCCTGTGCACTCCTGAGCAAAGAAAGAGATCACAGAGCAACAGAGACACTTACCTTGGGCAAAGGGGGGCAGTTCCATTGAAGGCAGTGAAGCTACATTTACCATTTACCCCATGGCAAGTGAAAGAAAGTTGCATATGAAAATAATAGAGAGAAATCTCAGTAAAAAGCTAAAGCTTAGGAGATCTGCCAGGAGGTCAGTTCCAGTTCTCTCCCCCCAGAAAAAGATGAACGCAATAACTATCTGTATCCTGTAAAAATTAATACGTTTTGAAGTGATCGTTGATTTAGGTTACATCAAGCATGAGCACTGCTAAAATATTCATTATGTGCTCAAGGACTTGCGCAACTCCAGCAGTTTCACATCTTAAATGAACACAATTCATAATAATAATGCTTAGTTAGAACTTATTAACTGTAGGGTGTTTTGAGAACATAATTAATATCTGAAGCATAACTGGAAAAGAGGCAAAGCATTATTACCCACGCATTATGCCTACTGTACACTTTTAAATTAATTAGCAAATATTGATGCTAAATAGTATTATATCAGTCCAAAGTGCTACTAAATATGGCCTGCTATTCTCATGTGTGCTTTCAAAATGTTTAAACCACAAAGTGATAAATGCTGTTGGACTTTTATATACACAAAAGGCTGGATAAATGTCACTTAATGTTTTCTTTCTATAGATCAACAATGTACTGCTCCTACAACTGATTCCACTCAAGAATATTAGCAAGACAAGAGAAGTACTCAAAGGACAACTGTCAAAGTGAAGGAAGCTGCATTTTTTTCCTTATCAACACATTCTGTTTTTTCTGAAGAACATCTGCCCAGGCAGCTGTACAAATCAGCTGTTTCAGAAAGAAACTTTTGTTCAATACTTACTAATTCATATGTTCACTGCATTTTTCACTGTGATGCATACATCACTCTCTGGGCATCTATATATTAAGACTAGCATGATGAATTTTTAAAAGATCAAGACTCTAGAATGAAACTCCTCAGAGCATATTAAATTGTTATGTGACCTGTTTTTCCAAAGTGGTAAGCACTTCCAGATTCAGTTAATGCCAAAAAAGCTTTTCTATTTGAAAAATCAGGTCATAAGACTCTGTCAGTGAACAAAGCCTGCACAAATACAAGAGCATTTGCACTGATACAATGAGTATGGACAACGACTGAACAGTCTGACTTCTGAGATTATTATTTTTGAAATTTTGATTTAAGGTTGAAATTCATCTACAGTGTCATCACTAAAACCATTTAACTAGCAGCTACACTCTCAAATCCCAGATTTTGTCTAGCCCATTTCAAGGTCTAAGCTTCACTCTAAGTGAGACTAGGGTTATACAGACTAGGTAAGAAGAAGCCATTTTCATGCTGAGGATATATATATTTCAGCTCTAAAAGTAAAAAAAAAAAAAAAAAAAAAAAAAAAAAAAAAGATGATTGCTCTGTTGCTTTGTACAAGCTCACCTACCAACACTACATGTGATTCAAAGAGAGAGAGTGCTGGCTGAATCCTGTTACTATTATTTACTTCCAGTACTGCTTTACTCATTTTAAAGTTATGGAAATCAATGTGTCGATTTCGTAGGTACAGGCGTTGCTCAGAATAAGCAAAAGCATCACAAATGAGCTATAGGGAATTTGTTCAAGATGTGCCACAGTTAGTGGCACACCTAGAGTTAACATTCAGGAACTCTTGGCCACCAGTTTCATGTTGTATCACTCAACAGCCACTGTACTGTGAAGCTCTAATCCATTTTTTTTTTAATAATAAATACATGTAGCAAAAAGTACATCAGCACCTGAGTTTTTTAAGTAATACATGTGTCACTGCCTATTATAGTATTAGATTTCAGATGATGGAAAATACCCTGATGATAAGCTTAAAGTCAACCTATAATAAAAATACGATTCTTCAGCACCTTCTTTCCTTATACATGGCCTTGTGGATTATTTATACGAATGGACATTCCTTTTATGTTACTTACATGCAAGGACACTCCTTTCTGTTAATCAAAGACATAATTTATTAATTCATACAGAGACTTTAAAGTAATTTAACTCAGTGTGTTTTTGACAAAAGAGACCTTCTGCTGCTTATGGGGTTATGGAGTAGGGAACTTCCCTTCCCATCTACTGGCAGCTCTGTTCGCTTGTAAGAGTTGTGTTTCTTGTTACTTTAGGGAAGAAAATCTGACATATTCTACAATTAAGGGTTATTTTCACACAGTATAAAGAGAGGAGTTATGTGAGAAATTAATATCATACCCACAGCTCATTTATCAAAACAGAAATGGTGAAAAAGTTGATACTGAGAGATTTCTAAAATACTTCTTCATACCAGTTACATTCATGGCCATTTTCCCTTTATAGTCACTGGTGATTAGATCTAATTGCATTAAAAAAAAAATAGAATGTATTTTCTAAAAGTGTAAGCCATTCTGTCTTGAAAATTACTACCAATGGCACCACAAAGCACTGAGTTTGACCTCTCTTGAGGACTCCTTGGTTCACTTCACTCATCAAGAGTGACTCATTTCCCCAGTGCCAGCCTGCGAGCCGAACGTCAGGCTACAGTCTCTCTTAGAGACTCTGCAGACTGAAAACCCTGCTAAATTCTGTCAGCAGAGCACAAAAGATCAGACTGGGCTTTATTCATTGACAGTTGCACTGTGTTTGTGGTTGCAACCACTTATTTGGGCCACTATGCGAAGCAAATTTGCTTCTCCACACACTTGGAGCTGCTCTGCTGAAGAGGAGGGTGCTGGTTTTACTTCGCTATTTCTGTGACTATAAATGTCCATCTTAAAATATATATTTAGATTAACTTCTTGTTTAAATGCCCTGTCCCCACGCAGTAACTTCCAAAGCACTGCCAGTTGCAACACAGATGGAAGGTAAACAGTTTCAATGAGAGAACCAGGAGCTACATAAGGCGATATGAAAAGGGTAGGGCTGAGCCCACACCTATTTCCCATTGCTCTCTTTCTCCCTTTAACCTGTCCTTGGCAGTACACACATATGGAGATCTCCCTCAACCATATTATACTGCCTCAGAAATCTTGGACTAAATCCCTGTTTCTCACACTGCTTCTCCTTATGGCCTACATTGCTCCCTTTATTTCACTTTAACTTAAATCAGCACTCCTTTGTGCTTGGCAGCCTGTAGTTGATAGAAGAAAAGCTATATTCATTCAAGTGCATCCCACAGCTGCAGCCATGACCTTCATAGAATGGTTTGGGTTGGAAGGGACCTTAAATATCATCTAGTTCCAACCCCCCTGCCATGAGCAGGGACACCTTCTGGTAGACCAATTCCAGGTGGCAGCTAGCTCACACGTGCTCACCTCTGCCCACGGAGCTGGGTTCGGTCAGTCTGCCACAGGCACCACAAATGTGCCTGGAGGCAGCTTCCCTCTCATGTGCTGCTTTCTCTGGCACAGCCAACAGGCTTCAGCATATCACCCTCCAGGAAGTTCTCGCTGAATGTGTTTATGGCAGAAGAAACAGTGTGAAAAGGGCAAAGCTGAAGTCAAAGCCCATTCTTCAGGAGAAGGGCTGCAGCTCCCTGTGGGCTGTGCACAGGTGGGACCAGAGCCGGAGCGTTGCATCCCTCTGGGCAGGAGCACTGCCTGACCCAAACCCTTCTCAGGGCAACTCTGAGAAATGGTGAGGTGTGGGGAGAGCCAACTGCACAGGAAACGATGTTCTCAGGAATGCACAGTGTACACAATGCCACCACTTGAGACAACCCACAACCATCTAACAGAAGCGTGCTTTTCATTCTCTTCATCCTCATCCCATCAGACTCTTTGGTAACCTTCAGTTAGTGCATCTTCTTCAAATAAAGGCTTCAATCTCTTTGGGCTAAAGCATTACTGGTTGTTAAAATAAAACACGGAGGAATTACGAAGTCCAAATGTGCAGGTTTAAGTGATGCAGCTGCTGGAAGTTTAAATCCTGCATTATACATAATCTCTTTATTGTGAAACAGAAAGAATTTGGTCATACAGGTATATAACTTGAATTATTTATCTAGGAAGTATTCATAAATTGCTGTAAAACCTGCCTAGAAGGCAAAACTGCTGGAAACCTCGCCTGCTTCAAAAGAAAGCTGCATCCCTACAGGGATTTGCTTGCCAGGTATTTCTAGATTTTTGATGCTGCATATCTATTCTGAAGGCAAAGGTGATATACTAATTTACACCAGCTAAGCGCATTATCAGCAGACTGTCCTGTCTTTTAGGAAAACTCTACTCTCAAGGCCTATTTCTATCCAAAAGTCATGTCAACCTGC